TTTTTGTTTATTGGCTGTTTTTTCCATCTTCAAAAGCCTTTGATTCAAAGGAGAGAAGGGGGGTTTTGGTTTCCTTTTTGCTATACTTTCTTACCAAGGCAAAAGTTGCCGAAAATGTCGTTTGCCACCTCACGGAAAACATGAATTTACGGAGACGCCCCCCTTTATCTGCTCCTCCTGGCGATTTGGGGGCGATGAAGAATGTGAGCCGTACACGTGGTGATGGGGACGAATGTGTGTGGGTTGCCAAAAACTGGACTGGGGTAATAATTGCCCTGATGCATGGTACTTTTCATGTTGGTATTTTTGACTACTCGTATGCTTTATTTGTACACCCTCCCTACCCCCTTATTAAGTCTTTTGTCCGACTCCTCCACCGGCCTTTTCTTCTCATCTTTTGCCACCCTTCCCTCCCAACATCTAATTTTGCATTTTGGACTATGTTTTTATGCCCAAACCTTATTTCTTAGGATAGAAAAAAAGAGGACTTTTTAAGGTTGGTGGGTGGCAAAAATTCAACTCTAAATATTTAGCTTTGGTTTTAGTTTTAGTTTTAAGTTTTAGTTTGGGACATCACTTGTCGCCCTTAGTCAAGTTTTTGGTAGGGGTGGAGTTAGTATGGTAATACGGAAGCTGTGCAGGTTAAATCATCAGTCATTAAACATGCTATTACCTTTTTATGTGTAGCTTACTCTTTATGGCAAAAGTCTGAACTAAGTCTCTGCATGTAATTACCAACTATATATTTAATTCATATAAGGAAGATTTAATATATGACAGAAGAGACTAGAGAGAATGTGAAGAACAAAAAACGAAAACATTCAAATGAAGTGGGACACTCCAGTTGTCTTAAGCCCAATGCCCAGATTTATCCCATCACCTTCCTTATAAAAACAAAGAAGGAGAAGAAAAAGAAACATCTGAATTTTTTGTTTTATTCACTGCAAAATGGAGGGAATTTATTACTACTATCAAAACTAATTGGCTTGACGGAAACAGGCTAAAAAAGCTGAAGAAGCAAACTTCAATCTCAACACTTTGAAGTACTTTAATTACATCCCGAGGCCCTAGGATGTGTACAACAAATCGTTTGAGTTAGCGAGTGGGTGGATTCGATATCTTGTTTATGTTGTGTGCATCTCATAAATTGAAATGACGGCATTTGATCAGAAAGCAGACACATTGCTTGGGATTAAATGCATGAAATCTTGCACAACAACAAGATTTCAATCAAATCTCTGAAAGAATATGAAATGATTCCTACCCTCGCAATGTCATGCATTTAAAGAATTTGACTACTTGACTTGCTTGATACGCAAATAATTTCTCTTTTTGAGATTGACAGACGAGAAAGAGAGAGAGAGGAAAAATTAAGGAGAAAATGTGTTCCTAGAACCATTCTTCGATAAATCAAGGAGTGGATGGTAGCAATAGTAATAGTGTTTATGGTGAACAAATTATTTGGGCATCGGCTTCGGCCCGTGTTCAGCACACGTGCGTCATTTTTATATATTTAGTCTTCTCTTAAAAGTAAATTTCTAAGGTCTTTGGTTTGCATTCCAACATGAGATTGATTCCAATGCCCACCTTAATCCGTGTATTTTAATTTTGTCTTTTGCTGCTTTGCACGCTCATGTCTCCCCTTCCACGTCCTCTTGTTTTTCTTCGACAATATCTTTGCTCTCTTCAAAACACTATCGAATTCAAATACCTATGCTTGCCCTTTACATGGATTTTTCCTCCTTTCCATGCAATAGTATTAAGTATATGTTTTTGCCAATCTTACATGTTTGAATGTTGGTGCATCATGAAATTTATTAAAGAAAACATTCACTGGTGAGTATGATTTTATTGACTTACCAACTTCTTCAAATCTTAAATATGAATGAGTGGAAACAAGATTTGTGATGCGAAGCAAAAGCTTATCATGGTAATAACAATATATTTTTTAAAAAAAAGTGCACGAGAAATGTAGAAGAATATTAGCTCGTGACATTGGCTAAATTTATAAATAATGTGGGTAGCTGAGTAGCTTTTGCAAGGGGTATGTTCCCCATTGTTGCCACACGAATTCATGGGCCACTAAGTGTAGTATGTAAAAGGGAGGTAAAGGGAGCACAAAAAGTACGTGAAAGGGATGTTTCTTTCTCTGCCCCCAGAGCCCACCATTTTTTATGGAGATTACACTATAAAGACTTGCTGTATTGGGTTGCGGACGCTTACCAGACATTCTATTTGCTGGAGCCAGGAGCCTCCATTCCACACACTAGCCTTTACATTATCTTGCATAGGAGAAAAGCTAAAAACATTAACAAAAAACAGTCCCATACCTAGTTGTTTTTCTTTATTTATATAAGATTATATAGAGATTAGATCCTAAGAAAATAAAGCCAAGTGCAGAAACTAAACAACATAACATTAATGTTGGATGATACTCGTACATAATAAGATTTCAATTTAAAATATAAAAGATTTGGGATCTCTTCTTCACTGCTGAGACCAAATTTCATTAACAATCTTGCCATCCCATACCTAATTGAAAGAAATATTGAAAACAAAAATAGGTAAGATTCATCTTACAATCCAATAATAATAGTGATTTGAAAAAAAAAAAAAAAAGAAATATTAGGAAATTATTCCTAAGCAGAATCTTGATAAATCTAATTTTCATTCCAAAATCATATTTTAGCTTATATTACTCTTCATGATATTTGTTTCCCACTAAACTAAGTATATTACACAATATTAAATAACAATTAACTTATAAATAGTGCATAGCTAACATTTGGGTGGAGGTTCGTTTATAATGAACATATATTCATAATTCTGTTAATATAAAGTATTAATAAAAAAATATTTTATACATCTTTACGAAAGAAATTAGAAGGTTGACACATACTTCATTAAGGTGATAGAATAAAATATTTATTATTCTTCACCCTAAAATATTTATTATATTTAAACAGTTAAGTGATGGATATAATAATACTCATAAATATTATTCTGTTAAAAAGAATTGGGTGAAGAAATAAAAGAATTGGAAAATGTAAAGAGATGTAAATGATAATTTACTGGAAGTGCGGTGATGGAAATGAAGTGCGTGCGGAACTTGAGTTTGATTGACTAAGGTATAAGTCGTACTAGATAGGAATAGGATTTTGCCTATTTGGTTGTTTATGCGTACATGGAATGGAAGTGAATGTTCAAAGGAATTTCAGCGGAGACAAAGGGGACCATGGGAGATAGGACCGGACCATCCTCGTGTGCCCACCCCCCTGTTACCAGGGATCTTGTTCGTGGCCCTTGGGTGCCTAAAAAGGGTTTAAAACCCACCCATGCTACAACATCGCTGTTTGTTTGCTGCTATATGCTAGTGCCTCCTGCTTTGTTAAATAATGCCCATCAACGATGGAAGGCATCGCCAACTAAAACCTCGAACTTCGTGTGCGCAATAAGGAGCTTGCTATGTCGTGTCCTGTCACCGTGGCGAGTCGATTCATTTGCAGTTTGCTGGAACAAAAGGGGTTTGGTTCCGCCTGAGATATATTTTCAATTTTTGATTTTCTAGACTGTAAGATATGGCTTTTAACCTTTTGAAGGGTGTAATTGTATTATAATCATAATCATGGGGTAACCCCTTTTCAATTAAAACAAAACGCTATGATCAAGATTGTTGTTGGATTATAAAATTATGACCAAATGAAACCAATTAAAAAAAACGCAAGCTCTCCACTTTAGATTATTAAATATGGCTTCTCTTCTCCCCAGATTTAAAAGTCTCGGACAGAGGGAGGAGCTTGATATATACATAAATGTTATGGCCATCAATGAGTGAAACTATGCAGAAAAGATGGGTTTCAGTCGCTCGTTTTTCGATTTAATGGAATCTGGCCTAACTGCTGTCTTTCATCCACAGATGGGATGCCTAATTCCTCCATTTGCTTCTTCTAACAGCCAACAATTTCATGTGTCAGCCCCTGCCCCGCCCTTACATGCATACACACACACACACACACACACACAAAACATACAAAACAAATATTAGCTAGAACTGCTGCTACTGTTTATTCCCATAGCATTAACTGTGTCGATTCGATATCAAGAACAATTGCTCCAATAAATTTATAATCGGGGAAGGTGCAACATTAGAGTAGACGATTGGGAAAGTCAGTTTCTAGCAGTAACAAGTCAAAAATACGTTGGGGTGGCTACGTAAATCATGTTCATTATTGTATAAGCTTGATGAGGGAGAGAGATTGGCCTTAACCCATCGTTTGTTGTGAATGAGATATGACCTTTAGGTAGTGGTATTTAGCAGGGCCCTAGCTTTATCGTAATGCAGCTTTATGTCCTTTCCTTTCAGAAATATCAACATCTTCGGCTCCAACATCCCTCAACTTGCATTCCGAAGACTGATTGCAGCTGTGCTGTTACGAACTTACAGCCTGATACTCGTAAGTGAGCATGAAAAGTTTGGGCCAGTTTAATGGGCAACTGAACCATGACAATACCACATTTTGATAAAAAGAAAAGGTGAGGGGTATTTTGCAAAATCAAGATCAATATTGGCAGGTTCCTGTCCTGCTTCAGTGAATTCATAGCTTCAAGTAGGGTATGAAAGAAATGAAAATTGTACTATTCTTTTGAGGCTCCCACAGCATTAAACTCCTGTCATTCAAAACCCAAAAATTAAGATCATGATGTGCAGAGTGAATGGGCCATCCGTGTCACATATTATTTACTATGTCAGTTTTCTGAAACTACACAGCTATTACTCCAGTTTGGACACACATAGAGCCCACCATGATTGGCTTCAGCAAACAAAAACTTGGACATTCAAACCTTTCTGCCAGAGGGCTTCATTACCTTGACTCCTAACTGTAGAAACAAATTCAAGTCTAATAAATTCAGTAAACGCTCAACATTCAACATTCTAATTATGAAACGACACATAACTAGCATCCTCAGCATTCTAGAATTAGAATGATACCTCAGCGTCCTAGAATTAGAAAGATACAACTTTATAAACTTACTTGCCAAGTCAAATATACCATATTCTACACAAAATGAATACACTAAATTTTGGTTAAACCTCCGTATAATAGGAACCCTTATTTGTCTCTCTTTCCCTTTTTCTGTTACTCTGCTCCCACACCAAAATTAATACAAACCTCTTATGGAGAAAATAGAGTTGGAAATAATAACATACAAAAAATTAACTCTTTGTTACATCGTTGAGCATACCGAAGTATGATTTGTACCTCTGTGCTAATCCAAACATTCCAAGTGTGCCGCCAGTGTGAAGCATCACCACATCGGCATCTCCGTGTGCAGTGGTAATTTGTGTTGCCATTTCCCAAGCGGCTAAGGTATAGACAGGATCCACTAGAATACCAGTTTTCTGTGCAATTTGCTGGCAAGCCTCTATTTCCCCTTCCAAAATGTTGCCAAATCTATGAGAAAGAAAGAGCAAAAATGTAATCAAAACAGATTCAGCTGGGAAACAAAAAGCTATTTCTCTAAAAATAAATAACAAAACATATACTTTATCATCAAACATTCCTATTAGTAACTCATTATTTTTAAACAATCTTCATGCCTTTCTTATAGCATTAGATAGCTTCAGGGATGCTCCCGCATCACTTCAGCAACTGTTGCAAATTGATTGGACAAGGCAATTGAATTCTCTTTCTCTTAATGATGTTTGTAAGACCTAGGTTTCATTGCTTCTCCCTTCATTCTTTCAATTATAAGTGATTCAAAAGAAAATATATACGAATACCACCAAATCTAAATCAAATACAACAAGAAATTGCAGTAAATGGCCGAAAATTTGTCTTTTGTCAAGAGTTCTTCATAACTCTGCAGCGCCACCAACATTTAAATTATAAAGAATGGAATAAATGGAAACAAATGGATGGACAGTTCCAAGCTTTATGTTCAATGGACGTAAATTAATATAAATATATATA